GTGAGCTTGTCGTCACCCCCACTTTCAATTAATTTTTTGTCACACTATCCCAATCGAGGAATAGGATAATTAATAATAAATTCGAGCAGGGGAAGCTTATACTATATGACATATGATATGATGAATAAATACATAGATATTCGACGACTGGGAATACAATAACACGACTTTTAAGTTCTCCTGCATTAATATGCATTCTTGCGACGTCACACAAATAAACTTTAGATAGTCAAAGTTTAACAATACAATGGTTTCCAGACCATATATATATTTTTGAACAATTATATGCAATAAGATGAAAGTGAAACCAAATCCCGGGAAGAGAGAGTGATGAAAAAGTTGGAACATTGATAAAGGCCAGGATTGAAACACTACTACATTTTCGGGTCTGTTGTAACGCTCAATTTCGTTACCGTTGGTTCAAAAGTCTGTTACATTCTTCTAAATGTAACAGTTTTGGACTGTTACATTCGCTCGCGTTGCCTTTGCTCAAATGTAACGATATGTAACGTTTTTTAAAATTAATTGTAACGCTCTTCTCAACTAAACAGAAGTGTTACTATTGTGCCATAGTACAATTGTAACGGTCTTTAAGATGTAATACCTGATTGTCTAATGTAACACTTTATATTATATATTTATATATAGATACATGTACTGAATTATTTTTTAAACTAGAACATGAGCAAACAAATTAAACACACACAGAATTCAAATATTATTTATCATGTTTTTATTCATAATAAGAGCATGATACAAAAAAAAATAGGAGGGGACATATACCTTACCCCTAAAAAAAAGCACCAGTTCTAATCTAATACATGAAGGGTGCTCTGAATATGTAAAATTAAATAACCTCTAACATTTGAGGGTTACTAGCAATATATTAAAATAAACACTATAGATACTAAGCTAGCTGCTATGAGAACTTTTGCATTAGTTCACCTCCCTGGGACAATGCTTTATGGATACCGTTCCAAGGTGACAAAGCTTCTGAAAGTCTTCAATCTTGCGTTGGAGCTTACTAGCAGTCATAGTCGAGTCTAGCAGCAAGATGGAGCCAAGAGAACCAAATTTAACCTGAAACGGAGTGTATTGGTATTAACAAGTGCCTGTTTAGTTGCAACTTGATCATAGAAAAGGCAAATCATTCAAACATGGTAGTTTTAATCTAAATTAAGTTATTTTCACTCACTAAATTAAAGTTATAACAATTTCAAGAAACTCTTATAATTTACCTTTGTTCTAAAAGAGTTATCACTTTTAAAATTCATTGAAAAAAACAAGCAGAGCCCAAAGAAAACATTAAGATCACACAAGAAAAAACACACTTAGTGGAAAAACGTTAGTGGTTTTGGGTTCGTAGATAGTGCTTTCAAGATCCACTCAATGAAGCAAGTGCATTTTTTTCTTATAGACAGAAACTAAACATTCATATGTTGTTAATCAATACGTAGTATTTTTTGTGCTTAGGACTCATTGTTTCAAAACATGCTTTCTTTGCCTCTATTTTGCATTTTTATGTTTGGAGATTTCTCTTTGCTTTATAATATCTTTACTCTGTATTTAAGCACATGGTTAGACATTGACATTCATGCATTATTCTCTACATTAAACCTAGACAACTTTAATTCAGTACATACCTGAACTCCCAAAGTCTCACACAACTTTCAATTGTTGTCAGCTGTTACTGCAGCTCATTATCACTTAAAGGTTGGGTGCCACCAAGACACCAACTATATAAGTGTATATATATATATATATATATATATATATGTGTGTGTGTCTGTGTGTACATGTAAAGTAAACTCTTCTTTTGTTTATGAGGATAAGTAAAGAACAAAAATATGATACTAGAGAGAAAGGGAGGTAAAAGTGTTAGGGCATAACAGTTTCAAGCAATTCTCTAGATCCGGGCTTTAATCAAAACCTAAAAGCCTAACACACCTTAGCAAAGAGTAGTTTCAAATTTGATGCTCCACCCAATAATCATTTATGCTTATCCTTATCCAATTTTATGCAAATGAGTTTTGGCCAAAGCATTCTTGGAATATATTTCACTTAAATTGGCCCATAATATGTAAGTAACTCATCTATCACATCAAGAATTCTTTTTTCTTAGTACAATGATGCATCAACAATAGAATAATTGAAAAGGAACATTTACTGAGCAATTCTTTGCATAGACAGATACTTATTTTGTTGATTTTATAATAGAAAGCTTAATAGAACTTACCATGTCTCTTTAAAGATTTCTGAACTTTTCTGTGAAAAAATTCCTAGTAAAGATATACTTTTGAAAGCAAATCAGTTTAGTTAGAAGCTGCCAATGGTTCACAACCAATTTCACTAGCAAATCATCCCACAAATACACCTCAATTAGGCCTGCAACAAATTAGAAATTTTTGCTAGAAAATCACTTCAATGAAGCAACTAGGGTGAGTTGTTGGGAGGCTAAACTTCACCAGGAAGAAAGGTACTAGTGTCCCCCAGGAAGACCAGCCTAGCTGCCTATCATGGAAAAAACGAGTATCTTCGGATCCTGAAAGAAATCAAAGTAACCATCAACCTTAGAAAGACCCACTTCAATATATGAAAACCAAACACCAAAAGCAGTCACAAACCTACGAGCATGCTTCCATAGCCTCCAATATCTCTTCAAGCACAAAGACCAAAGAACAAACAAACTCATTTAGAAGTTCCACCGAAGCAGAGTACTAAAAAGATGAAGTTAAAAGAAAACTAAGGAACCCGATAGGGAAAACTCTAGCACTAGGTGCAGGAATTGTATCACTGCTCCCGAAAGCAGGAATCAGAGGAACAATGTGTCTATAAAATTATAAAGACGGGATAAGAATTATTATTACGATTATAATTAAAACCATGAGGAATATTTAATAATACAAACTAAGGAAAGTAAGAGCCTTAGTTTCCTTATAATTGAAGCAATTCTAGATTCTAGAACATAAACCACATTTTCAGAATATAAATCATTCCAGATCAAATGTAAACCACATTTTCAGAATGCAAAAATAAAAAAATATAAAAACTATAATTGAAGCAATGCAGCAATATTGGACACAATGGCCCATTTATTCATATTTACTTAAAATTCAGATTCGGTTCCACAAAGAGGGAAAAGAGAGTATGCTACCATTTTTCAAAGTAATTTCTTGCTATAATGTCTGGTCATAATGCCTTTCTAAGGGAATGGCTGCCTATGTTACACTAATTCCAGAGGCATAGGTTTATGTTTTCCAAAGAGTAGACACCGGAGCCAGAGTGTCACAATTGTGCGCATTCACATGGTGGAAGTTAACTGAGGAAAAGAAAAATAAACAAACATTCACTAAGACAAAATCACAAACACCTACAGTGCTTCAGAATTTTTAGATAGTTAGGTGGAAGGATTCCAAATATTTCTAGTTTTTTTTTTTTTACTTTTCATATTATCTAAATGAAGATGCAATGAATTTGGCATCAAAATAGACAATTGAAAAGAAAACCAAGTAAAAGAAGAAACTCTAACTCTAGGCCCAAGGACGAAGAATTAGGTACTGCTACAAGCTCAGGTGTCTCAAGGAGAGTGTTAGTTAGCCTGCACCTACATAATGCCAAATTAGGTCCAGTTAGATCTTGTAAAAGCTTCAACTCTTCAAGGTCAAGACCGAACTATGATAGGGTTATTGGAACTCCCAATTAATAGGCAATCAGATTAAATTTGTGAAAAGAAAAGGGAATGGCATGAACAAGGAAAATGAAACAAAATGGACAGAAAATTATGCAAAATAAAATTACCAGGGAGGCTCGGCTCATTTTTCATCTCCCGCCGTTGTACTGTTCAATCACCTGTGCGTCTATATCTTGTGAGTTGTGATTTCATTTTCGGATTTAGATGGTTTGGGAAAAGCATAACTGTCTTCAACCAGAATGAGAGCTTTGAGAGTTTGAGAGTGGGCAGCCATGGCGCAACGCCGGTCTCCTAGACTTCATTGCATATCGTTGGGCGTCTTCAGTGGAAGACTAGCAAACCCTATAATATCTAACCAGATCTACAAGCGCTAATTAGCCCGTGTCATAGCTCTAAACTTTTTAAATTAATTAGAGGCAGTTTGGCAGCATTGATTTTAGGCTTATTAGACTTATCAGTCAACTTTTTCACCAAACACACAATTTTTGTTTTTTTTTAAAGAAAGAAGGAAGAGAGAGAGAGAGAAGGAACAGAAGGACGGGCTCTTAGTGCGCTAAATTTTTAAACACATAATTTGGAGTTACTTTTCTGGTTGTATTGGTTGAAGTTATTGTAGATGACCATTTTAGCTATTTTTACATATTTTTTTTCCTTATTTTATTAATAAAATATAGTTTAAAAATATTTTTTTCTTAAATCAGCAAAATCATCCAATGCAGCCACTTCAGCCAGAACTTCATAAATTTCAGCAGAATCAGCCAAATCAGCCGATTTTCGTGTTACCAAACGGGCTCTTAGTCTATCCCACTTTTAAAAGCTAATCGGTATAAATTAAATTTAGTTAGGCTGAAATTTTAATAAAAATATAGCGCTATTTTTCCCGCTTTACACGTGTTACATTAGTGTCCATCAAAGGTAACACCGATTGAGCAAATGTAACTGTTTATTAAATAGTATACTAGCGTTACAATAGCACTATAGTAAATGCAACACTTTTGATATAGATGTAACAACGTGTTAAAAACTATTACATTAGACTCGTTTTTTGTAACACTTTAGACAAATGTTACATATTTTTTTGTTACATTAGACCTGAAAATGTAGTAGTGAAACTCGCAGCGGCCGTGCGGAGATTACAATTTATGATCGAGTTATCATGACTAACAATCTCTCAAATGCCTTGTTTGGTCAGGACGTAGGGGGCCATGAGTTGGGGATTCAACATTTTTTTGGAATATAAATAGTACACAGGGAGTATGTTAGTATTACAAACTTCAAGTAGATATTTCGTGGTAGTAATCGGTACGCAAGGGGAGAGAGGAGCGGCAAAGGGAAACCCTAGCCGCCTCCACCTCTTCCTTCCTTCTTTTCTTCTCTTCTTTTGACTTCAATCATGGAAAAAGTTTTGTTTAATCAGTACTTTCAGTTCTATCTATACGTTTATTTTCTAGCGTTGTCTAGAGATATTATTTTCGGTGGCGAAGTGTCGCTCGCCAGATCTATATTCCCTGTCATCACCAGTCGGGTGTTTTTGTGTGCTAGTAAGAGGTTTGTATTGGCTTCTTTATCAATCATGAATCAGGATTTCTTCTGCATCGATATAGAGGCCAATCGCCCCCCTCCTGAACCACCGCCGATCCAGGAAGATGACATTGGATGGATTGCATTCTTTCCGGTGGCTGGTCAAATCGGAACAATTTCTGCACTTGACTCCTTACCGGTGACTGGAAAAACCGGTAAGTTCAATAATTCCTTTTCGGTGGCTGGTCAAGCTGAACCCATTTCGAGTAGCATGAGTAGACACACTGCAGTACGAGTCTACATTGTTGCACGGTTAACGAACATGAGTGCTTTTATATGGCGTTTTTGTTCTTTGTCTCACCCTAGTGTAGTATTGAACGCTATGATTGTAATGCTTCGGCTTGTAGTTGTTATATTTCTTGTTAATATCTGATTATCAATAAAATGGTTATTTGATTTTCAAAAAGAAAAAAAAAGTAGATATTTCGTGAATTAGACATTGAGTGTTACTACAAAAAAGGGTAGCTGGGAGAACAAGTCAAACGAACTAGAAGTACAAAGTTTTTTTTTTTTTTTGATGAAAACTCAGCTAGCTATTATTTATCAAATCAAAGTTCAAAGAAGACAAGATACATGAAGGAGGAGAATTTTTCCAAACATGGCAACCAGACAAAGAACAGGCTACCCTAGCTAACTCATGGGCTACCCTATTCGCTGACCGCCTCACGTGAGCAAAACTAATACTAGTAAAACTAGTTGACAGCTCTATAATATCGCCAACAATCAAGCCAAAAGACGAATCATCAGGCCCTTCCCGTATGGATGTAACGAGTTGAGCCGCATCAGATTCAGCCTCGAGTTCTTCCCACCCTTCACATTTGATCCAATTAATTGCTTCCCGCATGGCTAAAGCCTCTGCCTCGTGGGGAAAGTAATCTCCAGTCCAGCAAATTGCACCAGCAGCCATGAAAGAACCCTCCCAATCTCTCACAACCCACCCTAACCCGACAACTCCCGTCCCCTTCTTAATCGCTGCATCTGTGTTGACCTTAAACCGACCTGCAGTTGGCTTTATCCAATTTTCCAAGCATTGAATCCTGCTGCCAGGCTTGTTCAAACCTTGAGCTCGGCGCCATGCATCTTTGAAACTAAATGCAGCAGCAACAATCTGCCCAGGAGAGGAAGAAATATTCTTCCACAACATGTCGTTTCTAGCTTTCCAAATTCCCCAAACCAGCATGATAAAATCACAGCAAAACTCCTCCTTCCCAGATTCGAAAATCCGTTGAATCCAACCTGCAAAAACCATTCCTCCAGGTAACGGCAATGTCCACTTCATTAGAGACCAGACCTGCTGCGACAATGAGCATGAATAAAAAATATGCATAAGACTTTCAGTTCCGTCTAGGCATAACCGACATTGTGTAGAGCAGTTTACTTGCTTAACCACTAGCTTATCTGATGTAGGTAAACAGCCTGCACACACTTGCCAAAAGAAAGCCTTCACTTTAGGGGGAATTTTGAAGTACCACATTTTAGTCCAGCCAAGTCCCTGCACCGCTCCCCCAACCTCCTTCAGCCTTCGGTAAGCACTTTTTACCGTATACCTCCCATGTGGTTCCCATAGCCAAATCAGTTTATCTGGGACGAGCCTCTGGCTTAGCGGGATGCTACGGATCATCAATTTGTCCCTATCATTAAATAAATCATTTAGAATATCAGGTTCCCATCCCACCCTTTCAGTCTGCATCAAGCTTTCGACTAGACAGTTTTCAAGTCCTGGAGCCACATGTGACTCAACTCTCGGATTAATAGTACAAGGAAGCCATGGATCCCGCCAAATATTAATACAACTACCCGTTCCCACCCTCCATTTATAGCTCTCCCTAATCAAGCTTTGAGTCTCCCAAATACTCCTCCAAACAAAGGAGGGATTGCTCCCAATTGGAGCTTCTAAAAAGGAAGATTTTGGAAAATACCTGGCCTGCATAACTCTGGCCACGAGTGTGTTAGGGTTGGTGAAAATCCTCCAGGCCTGTTTGCCGAGCATGGCGAGATTAAACTCCCTCAAACGTTTAAAACCCATCCCTCCTCCTTTTTTAGGTCCACATAAGCCTTCCCAATCCTTCCACCGAATCCCTCTCCCAGCCGAACCAGTCCACCAGAATCCGTTCATAACTCTCTCTATCTCCAAACACAACTCCTTTGGAAGTAGAAAAACATTCATGGCATGATTTGGCATCGCTTGAACCACTATTTTCAGCAACACCTCCCTACCAGCCTTGGATAAAAACTTATGATTCCAACTATTCAGCTTTTTGATAACTCTTTCTTTAATAAAGCCCAAAACTTCTGTTTTACTTCTTCCCACTAGGGAGGGGAGTCCAAGATACTTAGTACCTGCCTCTGCATGACGAACCATAAACATCTCCAGAAGACCCTCTCGAACTCCCGCAACAACATTTGCACTAAACGAAAGAGTTGACTTTTGATAGTTAACCAACTGCCCCGAAGCCTCCTCATAATCACTAAGAGCCTCCTTCAGCGCCGAACCCTCACTATGAGAAGCTTTGAAAAAAAGGAAACTATCGTCTGCAAAAAGAAGATGTGAAATTTTAGGTGCTCCTCTCGCTATAGCCACACCGTGCAATCTGCCCACTCTTTCTTCTCTTCTCAGCCTGGCACTTAAACCTTCGGCAATAATAATGAATAAATAAGGAGAAAGTGGGTCACCTTGGCGTAGTCCCCGCTGCGGTAATATTGGCCCTAGCTCAGTATCATCAAAAGGAATTGAATAAGATACCGTGCACACAGTCTCCATGACCATCTCCACCCATTTTTCTGCAAAACCCAATCTGTTAAGCATGCTTTTTAAGAAACCCCACTCAACCCGATCATAAGCTTTACTCATGTCTAATTTTAGAGCTGCAAAACCTTCCCGACCTTGTCGCTTATTTTTTAAGAAATGATGGGTTTCAAAGGCAAGCATAATATTGTCAATAATCGACCGTCCAGGAATAAAAGCACTTTGATTTAGCGAGATAAGGCAATCCAGCAAAACTTTCAACCGATTAGCTAGGACTTTAGAAAATATTTTATAGATAACATTACATAGAGAGATAGGTCTCCAATCGGCGACTGTTTCCGGCTTTTCCTTCTTCGGAATAAGAACTATATGCGTATGATTCACCTTTTCAGGCAGCTTACCAGTGTTGAAAACATGTCTGCAAAACTTTACCACCTCAGGTCCAATCACCTCCCAGAAATGCTGAAAAAAACCCGGACTTAGGCCATCAGGTCCCGGGCTCTTATCTGGATGCATAGAAAATAACGCTTCCTTCACTTCTTTCTCCTGGATAGGTCTGAGAAGATGTGTATTTTGCTCCTCTGAAACTTTGTGCTCCACGCAATAGAGAACTGGATTCATGTTACCCTGTGAAGAGGAAAAAATATTAGAGAAATAGTCCTCCACTATTCTCCCCACCTCCTGCCTGTCCTGCTCCCATCGTCCTCCCTCCACCCTAAACCCCTCAATCTTATTCTTCTTCCTCCTCTGCTTAACAGAATTGTGAAAAAATCTTGTGTTAGTGTCCCCTCCTTGCAACCAGAATTCCTTGGCCCGTTGTTTCCAAAAATAGTTCTGTTTTTCAAGAAGCTCCAAATATTCAGTCTTTACCCTCCAAAACTCATTCAAGCTGAAAGCATCAGACCTTCTTCTCAGGAATTGGAGACGCTTTTTACAAAACTCTATTCTGTTCCCCAGCCCCTTAAATTTCTTGTGGCCCCATCTGCTCACGGCATCTTTACACAACTCCAGTTGTTGTACCAGGCCCAGTCCTTGTCCCCACTCCCAGCTCCTCACCACCACCTCTTTGCAATCCTCTTCACGAAGCCATGCATTTTCAAATTTAAAACGACGCCTCTGGTGATGTGTAACTTCCTGATGAAGTTTTATAAGAATCACCAAGTGATCACTAGGGGTTCCTTCAATTGAGACAGCACTCGCTCCAGCAAAACGCTCCTCCCAACTAGGCGACACCAACACACGATCTAGCTTCTCCTCAACCCAATGAGGTGTGCCCCTTCCCCGTTCCCAGGTAAACTGGTAGCCATCAAAAGAAAAATTTGTCAAGCCGCTAGCCCAAACTGCTTCGCGAAAACCTCGCAGTAACCACCGAGGATGTGGGACTCTGCCTCTTTTTTCCCCTGCAAACATAATATCATTAAAATCCCCCATGACCAACCATGGGAGTAGAGATAAAGAACTCAAATGTCTAAGGAGGTCCCATGATGCTCTACGACGGGATCTCTCGGGGAAGCCATAGTAACCTGTGAAGCGCCACGGCAGATCATTTTTTCCTAGCTTGACGCGAGCATCGATATAGTTCATAGAAGAACCAAGGATATCCAGCTCTATCTCGTCTCTCCATAACAGAAGTAGACCACCTCGGTGTCCTTCACACTCAACACCAAACCATTTACGATACCCCAATCGTCGTGAAATAATCTCCAACTGTGAAAATCTCGAAAAAGTCTCCATAAGAAAGACAATAGCCGGCCTCTTAGAGTGAACAAGGTCCACTAAAACTTGAACTGTCGACGGGTTGCCAAGCCCCCGACAGTTCCAACTTAAGCAACTCATGATTCTAGGCGGGCCTGCGATGCAGAACCCGCCTCCAATCCGTTTTTTGGACCCATCTCTAATTCTGCCCCCAACTCCCCCAAACCAGTTGCCTCTACCCTTCTCCTCTTTCCACCCGAGCTCTCCCCCCTAACCAAAACCACACTGGACTCCCTCTGTAATGGGAACCCCACATCTTTTTCTATATTACTATCTTCCGAGCTCCCTGCCCTGTTATTTCTGTCCTCCGCATTCTGCCCAGAATTCCAAGACTTCATCCATGGCCCCCTAGTTCCTGTAACTTGCCCATTTAAGCTTCTAACACCCGATTCAGACACCAACCAAGGGCTGCATGTCCCCCCCTGCTCCCTTCTCCCACCCGCTTTCATCCACACCCCATACGGTTTTTCCTTGCCTTCCCATCCCCCTTCCACATGAATTGAGCAATAGCGATCGGTATGGCCTAACCGGCCACAAATAAAACAGAATAAAGGAAGACGTTCATATTTGAATTCCACCCATATCAAATGATCACCCCGTCTAAGCTGCATACGTCGTTTCAATGGTTTATCAACATCCAAAGACACC